GCTGAAACAGTGGCTCTGATCCAAAACTTTCTTCAGCTGAACAGTGAAAATCAAGGCAAGTCCCAGATTGAGCCCCACATTAGTATCTGTGTGAAGGGCAACTTTGTTTTCCTCACATTCTGAGAACTTCTTGTGTTTGAACTGCAGACATGCCCTTTGAAAAACAGAGAGATTTATTTATAATTGGCTAGATTTGCAAGCTTGCTTATTACATTATTTCCTGCCCAGAGTTTCTTAATACTGAATAGAAATTATTATGAAAACTTCTTACTTCAGGGCATTTCCAAGCTAGCAGGCCTGAAGCAGAACCTGATATTGCTGGTCCAGTTTTATTTCTGGAAAAATCTACTAAACTGTGTCAGAGTTCAAGTCCACAGGGGGAACACATACACACATAACATTCATGCACGCATTCAATGACTTGATTCCAACTCCTGTTGTGGGACTTTCAGCCTGATGCCTTTAAACTACACATAAGCAGGTCCTCTGCTGACTTGATTACCATCTTTTTTGTTGCAGTGTCCCGTAAAAATTGCTTTGCATATGTATCTCAGAGTCAGGAATATCCCTATTTTTCTGTTTTGCCAACTCACTGGCTATCAGTGGAGTAAAAGTGGGAGTCGGGGGGAGAATCATATTCAGCATGAAGCATGGGACTTCAGCCTAAAACGTAATATGGAATCTTTACCTCTGAGCAGAACTGTGGTATCTTATGCCAGAAAACAATAAAGGCTCAGCCAACTAGGGATCAGCTATTATTATTCCAGCTTTTTGTTGCTAAATTTTTCGTGCTAAATCCGTAAGGAGAATAAAAAACCAACTCACTTTAGAGGGGGTAAAGAGTTGGACAGGGAGTTGGTATTTACCTGTGATTTCCTCACTCTGATGTTGCATGGCTAACATCTTCCATATACTGAGAGATCTCCAGAGCAATGCATGATCTGCCTTTACTGCTATAAAGGCATTTAGCCACAATAGCAATGAGTTTCATAGGACTACCTTTAGAAATATGCAAGAGCTTCACTCGGAGCCTATTGAACTTATAAGTGCATGTTCTTGATTTTAATGGGGTTTGGATTAGATTGTCAGAGAACTGAATGGAGCTGCTTCTGACATTTTGTATGGTAACAATCTGCAGTTCAAGCCTCTGACCACAATTCAGGAATTTGAAACTCAAAGATTTCAGTGTGGAAAGTCTGTGCTTCATTACCTGCTTCAAGTGGAGGAAGCTTAACATATAATAGAAATGAGTATGAAAACTGCTTACTTCAGAACATTTCCAGACACAACTTGTTGCAGTAATCCATTTTGGTTCCTGGTGGGGTCTTCCTGCCCAGCCCTTTATGGATTGAAAAAAACTTAATCTCCCTAACCCCCCCAGGATATATTAAGATCAGGACTAGAATGCATTGGAAAAGGAAGTTTCCATCCCACAGAAACTTCAAAATTTCAACATTGGTTCTAGTTTCAAACCAAGATGAGGAGTTGACATTTCAAAGCTTTTCAGAGAGGGAAATATTCCCCAGACCTCTGACTCAAAAGTGTCAGTATTTTATTTCAAACGGTGTCCAGTAAACCATTACTCTGAGCTGTAGATTAGAGGTACAATATCTCTATTCACTTTTTTGCCTAACAGGCTGATCAAACAGTGTCTTGCATCATGTTCATTTTCATGGCAAGTCCTTAACCACCCCTAGTCAGATGAGTTTGCCCATAGGTCAGTGTCTTGACAGGCTTTTCTAGCTTTGCAGCCTAAGTGAATCTACTTTTCCTGATAGCTGGGTCTCTCCTAGTGTGTTGCATCTTTGGCACCCCTGATAACAGCCATTCCAAACCCTCCCCTATGTATTTGTTCATGTTATGGAGTGGATGCTGAAATAAAAAATTCTGCCTTCCTGTTCCTTGCTAACTCTGCAGATTTCAGGGGGGGTGGTGACATATTTTCACCCACACCTTCATCTTTTGCAGTGAGCTCTCTGCAGCCTTGACATAAAATAATGTTACGGAAATGACATAGTCTCATCTCAACTCAGACAATCTTATTTCATGAACTGTGTATTTTTTCAGGAGTACTTTAGTATTTCCTTGTCTGATCCTTTGCTTTCATAAGAGTCCAGTCTATGTATTGTTTTCACCTAAGAGCTACTAAAAAGTAATATAAGAGATCTGGAGAAGTGTTTTTCATTTTAAAACATCATTGACTCCATTGCAGACACTACCAAACCTTTTACTGAATGTAATCACCACCGAAAGATGGAAGAAGGGTTTCCCTAGCTAGTGAAGTGGGGGGGGGGAAGCAGTGAATTTGGAAACATTTTTTTATTCCAGGTATTAGTTAATCACTTATAAGGGTTTTTAATGAAAGTTTCATACATATTCCCAGAGCTCTGGGTATCTATTAAGATAGATAATCTAAAAGAGTAAAGTAAAAAGTTCTGCAGAAACCTTGGGGAGAAGCAGGAGTTTATTTAGTTTCATCAAAATTTTTAATAGCATAAAATTATCTTAGAGACTACCAAGTACAGGAAGATTAAAATGCATTTTATATATATTGTGTAAGTTTTGGTGTTCCCGGTAGGTCTCCATTTTGCTCATACTACCATTTGAAATACAGCATTTCAGGAAAATAATTATTTTTATGATATAAACTGGCAATGGCTATCCATCTCAAAAAGAGCAACAAACCTCGATATAACTTCCTTTCACAAGTTGTGACTTAGCTCTGAATTGCTCAATTTATAAAGTAACTTTAATTAGAGTACAGCCCATGGCAACATATGAGCTGATGATTCGTAAAGTTAAAAAGGCTTTAAAGTAGTAAAGACTGATTTTGAAATTGGTTGCCTCACACCTGGATTCAAGATCCAGCCCTTTTAAAATCCAGGCAGTTCACATGCTTTTTTCAAAATGGGCAAAGGGATGCAGATTTGGATACCACTCTCGACTGTACTGTTGGCTGAATATAAAATGCATTGTGAGCAGATATTCTGGCCTTTCCTCTGATTTCTGGGTACCTCACTGTGGGTGCTAGTGAGCTGTAATGCACTTGAAAGAAATTAATCTGATTTGTAGGCATTATGTTATAGGCTTTTCATATCTTGCAAGTTTGGGGTTTTTTCACATCTTTTCTATACAGAGACATTCATGAAAGTTAAAGCAAACCAGTCTATGTAAAGCAAAGGTGGTTCAGCTCCTGTAGGGATATTCTTATACAGAAAAAAAAAAAAAACAAACCACCCCTAAATCTTACATGGTATCACTGATATAATTTACATATCTGTACTTGGAAGCTCTGTATGGAGTAGTCACACTCAGAATACTCTTAACTTCGCTTCAGCTATCTAAACATTATTTGTCATGGTGTTTCTAATGTGATAAAATGTCTCTTGCAGTTTTGGTATGACTAGGTTTTCAGGGAAATGTATCATTTATGCTTGACTGTTACTCCATTAGCCCTCATTATTTCCCCTGGAGACATTATAAAATAATACAGAAGCATAGGAGACTGACCCAGTTCTGATCCAGTAGAAGTGGGTAAAGTCAAAGAAATTTGATTACAGCTTTCATCAAGCCTGAATCTAAACCTATAATGACTTAAATTAAATTAATTTTACTGTCAATATGACCAATAACCAAATGAACTGCTATTGTGCCACTAGTAAAATAATGATGTTAGAAATGGGAATTGAATTGCTAAAAGTAAATACTGGATATTAATCAAAGCCTGCATTTTCACAGGCAAGTGAAGAGAGTGCCAAACCTGGAAGTACATGTCACCCGAGCAGAGATCTGCAAACTGCGCATGCAGATTTGCACAAATAAGGAATATTAGTCTGAATGTTTAGGTGGGCAAGTTACACATGCAGTTTTCATGAGCCTGAAAGACAAGTGCCATATTCTCTTTTTAGTTTCTAGGACCCAGCTCTCTGATTTAACTGAAACTCACAGATGCAGGAAAATTTAAAGCTGAAATAAGCACTTTATTTAAAATTCCCTGTGTTTATATATACTTTCTGTTTGGCTAAGAGATGTAGCATAAACTCTTTAGAAGAAGAATTTATACACAAACATTTTTTCGTTGCTTACTTTGCATGCCAGAATACTAGAAGGCCTTTCATTTTCTAATATGTATAAAGAAAATTATAAAGCTGTATGGACTTGCTTAATTTCTTGGATTTCAATAATATGTGTGCAAAATTCATAACCTGGATACAGAATTAAGAGTTCAGACAAAAGACCTACATTAGAACTGTGCTAAATAAATTTATATTCCATTTATTTAATTATAGATTTAGATTTTATTCTCCTGGGAACTACAGTTTTCTTGCAAACTGAGAAGGCTAGTTTACCTAGTCAAGTTTTAAAATTTTGAACCAGACAATTTGCACATAAGCACAAAGCCATTTTCAGAGAAGGTAATTGCATTTCTGACTCTCAGTTCTTTTATTTTATCCATTCCCACTCTCTCTATCAGATCTTTAACAATGTTTGAACACAGACATTGATAGTGTGGAATGGGATTATTGTCAAACATAATTAAAGCCACATTATTTTCCCAACTGCATAGCAGGTAAAATTTCACTGAGATCTCAACCATGTTACTATTTATCAGTGCTGGTCTTTGCTTTTACCTCTCTGTCTGTTCCTATCTATTTTCTTATCTATTACAGGCATTTTTCTTTGTGAAACTCTGAGAAGTGTAATTTCTGATAGGACTGTGACCAAGAAATGTTCACAGCACCCTAAAAAAACAACCTCCGACAATACTCTTTTCTTTTTCTGGACTGCAAAAGCCATTGAGTACTAACCTGCTCACTGTCTCATGTCTGAATTCCGTTCAAACTCCCAGCCAGATTTGCTCAGCCTCTTTCATTGCTCGGTACTTTATAGTCCTCTAGAGATGGTGAGAAAGAAATTTGGCAGTAATTAGTTGCAGAGATGGATCTAGCAGTCAGTCAGTAGGTGCTCACGTTGAACTGCACATCTTTCTTTCTTGCCAGATCGTTGGCTGTGATCGCCAGCTAGGAAGCGCTGTCAAGGAAGATAACTGTGGGGTCTGCAATGGCGATGGGTCCACCTGCCGGCTGGTTCGAGGCCACTATAAGTCCCAGCTCTCAGCAAATAAACGTAAGCTGTTCCTTCTGGTAAAGTGCCATCTTTCCCTCTTGGTGAAATATGCATTTATTGCAAGCTAGATTTCACCCCACTTTTTTGCAGGCCATTGAATATTCACAGGCAGTCTGGTTGTCCCCCGAGTTTCTTCCCTCTTGGATTAAATCAGGCATACTTGGACTACAGCTCTGGCTGTGGGAGTGGGCAGAGGACTGTGGGAAGGTGTCACCAGTATATTCCCCATCTCAGCCAGCTAGTTGCATGGGAGGAGCAGGAGAAGAAGAAGACCTGGCTTCACCCACACTGTTTAAGTGCCTGTCACTTTGGCACTTTGTGTCAGCATCTTGCTTATTTGTCACTGTAAACATGCATAAGCATATCTGGAGTGTTGGAATGGAAGGATACAGGCTCTTCCGGAAGGACTGGCAGGGAAGATGAGGAGGAGGTGTCACCCTCTATGTCAATGGCCAGATGGAGTGTAGGGAGTTCTGCCTGCAGATGGATGAGGAGCCAACTGAGAGCTTCTGGGTCAGGATTAAAGGGATGGCAGGGACAGGTGGTATTATGCTGGGAATCTGCTACGGGCCACTCTACTGGGAAGATCGAGAACATGAGGCCCTCTACAGATAGATAGGGTTAGCTTCACATTCACAAGCCTTGGTCCTTGGAGGACTTCAACCACCCTGATATCTGTTGGAAGGATAAGGCAGGGCTTAAGCAATCCAGGAGGTTCCTGGAATGTGTTGATGATAACTTCCTTTTCCAAGTGATAGAGGAGACAGTGAGGAGAGGTGCTTGTTCTCACCAACACGGAGGGGCTGATGGAGAATGTAAAGCTCAAGGGCAGCCTTGGCTGCAGTGATCATGAAATGGTGGAGTTCAAGATCTATAGGGCAGTGAAGAGGGCATACAGCAAGCTCACTACTCCAGAGAAGAATAGAGCAGACTTTGGCCTCTTCAGGGAGCTGCTTGGTAGACTTCCATGAGATAAAGCCCTGGAGGGAAGAGGAGCCCAAGAAAGCTGGTTAATAGTCAAGAATCTCCTCCAAGCTCAAGAGCAATGCAGTCCAACAAAGAGGAAATCAGGCAAAAATACCAGGAGGCTTGCATGGAGGAACAAGGTGCTCCTGGACAAACTCAAACACAAAAAAAGCACAGAAAAGGTGGACACAAGAATACAGAGAAATTTTATTCAAGCAGCCAGGGATTGGGAAAGCTAATGCCCTGCTAGAATTAAATCTGGGCAAGGAAGTCTAGGACAACAAGAAAAGCATCGATAGATACATCAGTTGTAAAAGAAAGACTAGGGATAACGTGAGCTCTCTCCAGAAGGAAACAGGAGACCTGGCTACCCAGGATATGGAGAAGGCTGAGGTACTCAATGACTTTTTTACCTCTATCTTCACTGGCATGTGCTCAAGCCACATTATCCAAGGTGCAGAAGGCAAAGGCAGGGACTGGGAGAATGAACTACCCACTGTAGAAGATCAAATTCAAGACAATCTAAGGAACCTGAAGGTGCACGAGTCCATGAAACCTAATGAGATGCGTTTGAGTCCTGAGGGAACTGGTGGATAAAGTTGCTAAGCCACTATCCATCATATTTGAGAAGTCATGGCAATCCGGTGAAGTTCCCACTGACTGGAAAAGGGGAAAAGTAAAACCCCATTTTTTTAAAGGGAAAAAAGAAAGATCCAAGGAACTACAGGCCAGTCAGTTTTACCTCTGTGGCTGGCAGGATCATGGAGCAGATACTCCTGGAAACTATGCTAAGGCACATGGAGAATGAGAAGGTGATTGGTGACAATCAACATGGCTTCACCAAGGGCAAGTTGTTCCTGACAAATTTGGTAGCCTTCTATGATGGGGTCACAGTGTTGGTGGATAAGGGAAGAGCAACTGATGTCATGTACCTGGACTTGTGCAAGGCGTTTGACACCGTCCCACATGACATCCTTGTCTCTAAATTGGAGACACGTGGACTTGATGGATCCACACTGAGTGGATAAGGATTTGGCTGGATAGTCTCACTCGAAGAGTTGCTCTCAGTGGCTGAATGTCCAAGTGGAGACTGGTGATGAGTGGCATTCCTCAGGGGTTGGTATTGTGACCTGAGCTGTTTAGCATCTCCGTCAACAACATCGACAGTGGGATTGAGTGCACCCTCAGCAAGTTTTCTGATGACACCAAACTGTGTGGTTTGGTCAACATGCTGGAGGGAAGTAATGCCGTCCAAAGAGACCTTGTCAGGCTTGAGGAGTGGGTCCCTGCAAACCACATGAAATTCAACAAACTGTAAGGTCCTGCACCTGGGTGAGGACAATCCCAAGCACAAATACAGGCTCATCAGAGAATGGATCAAGAGCAGCCCTAAGGAGAAGGGCTTGGGACTGTTGGTTGATGAGGAGCAAAACATGACTTGGCAATGTGCACTTGCAGCCCAGAAGGCC